AACTTGCACATAACATACCCACTTCACAGAGAAAGCAAGAACTAACCTTTGATGCGAACCAGCAGCACTTTAAACACAAAAACCTGAAAGAAAAAAGTTGAAACCGCATGAGTTTATAGAATATTTATTGAATTATTCACAGAAAACATAAGTGATTATCTAGTTTTGTGATTTCTGGGGATGAAAGAAACAGAGGAAGAGAGAAAAGAAATTACCCGTTTGATTGACGACTTGAATCTCGGGCCCTCCACTTCCGTCACTTTTGAGAGGAAACAAGGGCTGCTGAGACAGAGAGGAACATGGGAATGGCTTCGACGTCTTTAATCAACCATGTCAGGTTCTCCACCTAATGCCCAACACCCACTCCATTTTTAACCCTTATTTATTTTTACGGTGTACCTCACAATCACATTCCATGTTAAAACCAAAAAAAAAAAACCGTACATGAACATCTCCTGACCATTTGATTATTTAAAGACAAGATCTTTATATTAACGTAATACTCATCACATTAACAAGATGAATGAAACCTCGGAGTACAAGTCGCCAAGAGATTCGGACGGACACGGGACCCATACGGCGTCCATAGCCACCGGAAGGTATGTCTTTCCTGCTTCCACATTGGGATATGCACAAGGGGTGGCCGCGGGTATGGCGCCCAAGGCGACACTCGCCGCTTATAAGGTCTGCTGGAATTCGGGGTGCTACGACTCTGATATTCTGGCTGCGTTTGACGCCGCCGTCGCTGATGGCGTCGACATTATTTCGCTCAGCGTGGGTGGTGTTGTTGTGCCATATCATCTCGATTCCATTGCGATTGGAGCTTTCGGTGCTACTGATCGAGGGATTTTTGTGTCTGCTCCCGCCGGAAACGGTGGTCCCGGTGGGCTTACGGTGACCAATGTTGCTCCATGGGTCACCACCGTTGATGCTGGGACCATCGATGGAGATTTCCCTGCTGATGTTAAACTTGGTAATGGGAAGACGTTGCCCGGAGTTAGTATATACAATGGACCTGGTTTGACTCCTGGTCGGATGTACCCGTTGGTGATGAGTACTCGGCTTCTCTGTGTTTGGATGGTTCTTTGGATCCCAATTTCGTTAAAGGAAAAATCGTTCTGTGTGATAGACCCATTTGTTGTGATCTTTATATTATGTGTCTCTAACGTAAATCTGAAAATTTTTTATAAAGGAATTGAGAATTCAATTAAAATAGAAAACGAACAATGTAAAAGAAATTTTTATTAATTGCATCAACATTTGTCGAATTAAAGCCTGCATAATTCATTAGCAAAAAAAAAAAGAGAATTCATTAGCAAGTAAAAAAAAAAAAAAAAAAAGGGCCTACAGAATTCAGATTGCATCTAAGTTAATTTCAAGTATGTCATTACAAACTTGTAGATGATTTAAAACAGAAGTTACAAGCCATCTAAACAGACCTTTGACAAAATACACAGAAAAAGAAAGGGCACATTGGAAATTGTTGCTGGGGTAGCTGAGAAGACCTACTAGATTTTCCCTTTGCAGGATAAGTGCTTGAAGGTGATGAGACATCTTCAACCTGAAAACCAATAATTAATAACAGGTGATTTGCTCGTTATTCTTTTAAATCAAGCAATGAAGTTGTTAATACAGGATTAGTATAAATGTGTACCTACTTCTCCACTCCAGGCTGTAGACGTAGAGGGAGACTGATGGCTCCTAAGACTTAAAAACTTTTCTTCGCAATCTGGAGATATGCTGTGTCACTAGTAACCCATTTGTTGCTAAAATTAAATAAAGGCAGCCCTTCAAGTTGCTGAGAAAGATCCTCACGTTGTTGAGGAACAAGAAACAGAGATGATTCCATGGATGATCTAACTTCAAAGCCAAAACTCCAACAAAACCAATGGCCGCTCCTAGTTTTTTTGAATGGCAACAACTTCATTAAATGAGTACAATGGTTACTCAAACTCATATATAATATTAAGAAATTATCAATCATTCAAGTTAATCGCTGGCTTTTAACCAGGTTCCAACTATCCATTGTAAAGTAATTCATTTACTAACACATGCCCTTGGAGTAATGATCCAGTCTAACATAAGAAAAGGCGTTTCCTTTCCTCCGTTTTTTACCCACTGATATGTCCTTACTTGTACAGAGTCAACCATTTTGCCAACATCTACTGTGCCACCATTAAATTCCTTTTCATTTCTAGCATTCCAAATAGTCTATGCCAGTGCAAACCGTATAGGTTCCCAGCCTATCTGTATTTTTCCATCAAGCATGAGTCCCTCTTGCTGCTCAAAAGCTTCCTGCACATTACTTGCTGCAGCAGTGTACGCATCCCACCATTATAGCAGTTTGACCAAACCTGGGAAGTTATTTTACAGTGCAAAAACAGAATGGCCGCTCCTAGTTGCATTCTCAACTTAACGATTACAAGAATTAAGATCAATGTTCTTGTTGTTGCCACCACTGTCCTTTTGAAAATGTATATTAGAACTTTATAATAAAAGCATCAAGGTTGCTGAATTAAAGGCCTGCATAATTCAGGCTTTGATATTATTATTTTGACTGCACGCAGCCTGTTCCTCATTCCTTACAAACTAGATGATGAAATTAAATAAACAGAAAACCATAAAACACACAATCAAATCAGGATTCTTTACACACAAAGAAGGAATATAACAGTTGCCCTGAAGACACTGGACGCTGAGAAGAAAGCCGGTTAATCACCTTCCAAAAGAAGTTAAATCCCAGAAGGTTTTGAAGAAGCATCTTGAACTGCAAAAAGAAAAAAAGATGGTAAAGGTGTTTCTCTCTGTTATTTTCCGATAAAGTAATGCAGTTGAACAAGATGACACAAAATCATAAATAAACAAAAGACGTACCTTCCTCTCCATGCTCAAAGAAAAGAAGGATGGTTCCTAAAACCTCAACTTTCGTCGTACTCTATAAATATAAGTACTCATGTTCCCTCTTACTGTTATCCTTAACTCAAGCTGTTCTTCATAATTTAGTGAAGGTATTGGATTGGGGAGAAGATGGAGTTGCCACAGCTGCTGAAGCTGCTGCTCTTCGGGCATCATTTCGCCAAGAGGTTGCTGTTTGGCATAAGCTTGACCATCCCAATGTTACAAAGGTAAAGAGTGGATATATATTTTTAGTGTACTAGGCTAATCCTGTCTATATTTTGTAGTCAGAGCAACTAATCAATCCATCAATACTAGTACTAGCTATGATAATTCAGCTATCTATGAGAGACCATGACATTGAGAGGGAAAAAGAATTCATTAAACATCGTGAAGACAATCGGTTTTCCAAGCTTAGTATGGTGTAGGGAGTTATTTAACTGATCCCTATGTTTCCTTATGTTCACTCAAGTTGTCTCCTGTCTAAAATCAGCCTCTTTTTGCTAGTAGTTTCATAATCTTGGGATGGTTGTCATTTCTTACACCATATGTTATACTTCTTTACATGTGTCCTAATTTAGCGGGTGGTCTGTTACAGTTTGTTGGAGCTTCAATGGGAACTTCCAACCTTAAGATTCCCCCCAAAAATGCTACAGATGAAAATCATGCTTCTCTCCCTTCCAGAGCTTGCTGTGTGGTTGTTGAATACATTCCTGGTGGGACTTTAAAGAATTTCTTGATTAGAAATAGGAGGAAGAAACTTGCATATAAGGTTGTGATTCAACTTGCATTGGACCTCTCTAGAGGGTGAGTACAAACTTTACAACAACTCCTTGAGGGGTTTTAATGTTGTTGATGCAATGAAGGCAGACTTGGAGACTGCTTGTCCCGCTACCGTCTCCTGTGCTGACATTCTTGCAATTGCAGCTGAAGAATCAGTCTATTTGGTATTGGTACTGATCTCTACTTGCCTTCCCCTGAAAAACAGAACTATGGGTTTTAATGTATGTTGTTCATAACCAAGTTCATTTTGACAGGCAGGAGGCCCATCTTGGCCGGTTTTGTTAGGACGAAGAGACAGCAGAACCGCAAACCGCACAGTGGCTGATGAATTTCTTCCAGGTCCTATTGAAACCCTGGAAGAACACAAATCCAAATTCTTTGCTGTTGGACTTAACACCAGCACAGATCTGGTCGCGCTGTCTGGTAATTCCAAGACTTTAGAGACACTTTCCTCAAGCAGTTTAAAACTGAATTCACATATAATTAGGAGGAATTAAGGATATGATTTTATTTTATTTTATTTTTTATGGAAGGATATGATTTTATTTAGTTCTAAAGTAGGACTGCATTTTTTTTCAGGTGGTCACACCATTGGACGGGCTCGATGCAATACATTCATAAACAGACTGTATGACTTTGATGGCAATGGAAATCCTGACACTTTCCTGGACACAACCTATTTAGCAACATTGCGTGAATTATGCCCTCAAAGTGGTAATGAAGTGTCCTGACAGATTTTGATCCCACAACATCCGATGCCTTTGACAACAGCTACTTTGCCAACCTTCAGGCTCAAAAAGGTCTACTTCAAAGTGATCAAGAATAGTTCTCCACTGCTGGGGCAGATACCATTAAAATTGTTAACAGATTTAGCAGCAACCAAACCGCATTCTTTGAAAGTTTTGTTGAATCTATGATAAGAATGGGAAACATCATGCCTTTGACGGATACTAAAGGAGAGATTAGATTGAATTGCAGAGTTGTTAATGGTGACTTAATAACAACTGCTAAATCAAATGGAGGCCTAGTTGGCTCCATTTGATTTGATCAATAACAAAAGAGGAAGGCTAATAAATGACCATCTTTATGCTAGTGTATTTTGCTGAATATAAATTAGGTTTAAGTACCATTTTAGTCCCTCAACTTATCACTTTGGCACCAAAATTGTCCCTCAACTTTAAAAAGTACCAAAATTATCCTTGAACTTTCATTTTTGGTACCAAAATGGTCCTTCCATCAGTTAAATGCCAGGTGGCTCGTTAAAATGTCACAAAATCACTGGTTTTTTTTAATTTTTAATGACGTGTAAATCCAGCAATGACATTTTTTACACCGTGGCATTTTTTAACACGTCAAATAGTCATCTTCTCAGTTTCTTTTTTTAGTGGGGCCCACATGAAAATTTTGTTCTCTCTGTTCCACTTTCAATCAAGTTCCCCAAAAATCACAAGTTATCTTCGTTTCTCTTTTCATTTCCTTTTCAAATTCAAAACCCTAAACCTACTACTACTCCTGCAAAATTAAATCAAATATTACCCCAAACCCACCCTCACTCTCCAGCTTCTTCAGT